ATATATATATATATATATATATATCGACTCATACGAGTACGAGTCGAGTCACGAGTTTAAAATCTATATTATCGAGTTATGAATCAAGTCACGAGTCAACAACTTTGCTAAACGGTAATAAAAAACCTCCCTTGTAAATGTTATGATTTAGTTTTAATTCATATTGTAATTTTAAGCTTAATTAGTATGGTAATTTCGTTTTTTATTGATCTTGTAATTTCGTGACATTATAATATATGTGATATTGGTATCATTGAATATATTTGTAAGATCTTTTTAATGGTATAACCTGTTAAAAAAAATACATAAATTTTAATTATATATTTTGAAATAAATTAATCTATTTGTAATAGCAAAAAAATGAGATAAAATTTGAAGTACTGTAACATATAAAGTGTTAGAAGTAAATATGATAAATGTGTCATTAAATTGTAAAATGTGACATTAAATGATGAATTTACTATATTATATGGTCAAAAAGGTATACCAAGTACATTACATTAACTGTTTGCGTTATCATATTACAAACATCTTTTAAGGTATTACATGAATACCTCTATATTCTATATACTTAATCGGAAAAATTTGAATATTAAGGATAAGGATCGAAGTAGAATACTGGCACCTAGTTGTTACGATTATGTCATCCACCGACTGAGAGAAATTTCATGGCTTCCACCCCATTATATACATTCACACCCAGTCATCTTTTGAGAAAAACATTGTTAATTTCTAAGTAGTTGAAGGTACACATTTAACAATTTATGTCTTCAATTTTTTGAAGCTCATCATTCTACTAACTCGGTTTTTTTTTTTTTTTTTTTTTGGATTGTTACACGAACCTAAAACAGTCATTTGTAGGTAGGGTGTTTGGGTTTTAATTTTGTGATCTATAACTTAGATCAGTTGATCCATATAAATTGTTATATTTTTTGTTCCAGGATACAAGATACATGTTGAACGCTCTTCCACAAACAACGAGGACAATGTTGCTCTGATATGGAACCAATTGTTGCACATCGTCCCGTAACTATGCTCATGATTCCAAATACTAACAAGGTTGCTCTGCCGTCCAACTTTAAATCCTATGATCACTACTTGACGATTGGATTCCTCAAGAGTTGCTTCATTTGCAAAAAGGATTTAGGTGAAATGGTTGACATTTTTATGTACAAGTAATTTACTCACTCTTTCTGACAAAACCTCACATGTCCGACACCGATATTCTAGATTTTCTTAAAAAAATGAACCTAATGTGTTTATTGTGGTCTTTGCAGAGATCAATCCTTCTGTAGTGATGGTTGTCGCAACAAACAGATGGATAACGATAGAGAAAAAGAAATAAACAATCGTGACAAGGTGATAAATGGTAGGCGAAGCCGTAAGACTTTGTTTCCAAAAGGGAACAAGAAAGACATCTTCTTCATCGGTGATGTATGATTCAAAAGTGTTTTTGAGGGTGTTTATACATGCTTTCGTGTCAAAATATGTAAAGAAGTCAAGTGTGTTAGTTTATATTCCGTTCAATTTTATATCAAATAAAACTCAACTATCTATCAGAGACATTCTTCTCTTATTAGCCCCGGTCGGAAACTTTTTTAAATGAAGAGGCGAGAACCAATCAGAAGATGACACATCATTAATCTTTAATAAATCATTTAACTAAATTATAAAGGGTATATATGTCAATTAAATAAATTTGCAATCCACGTTTTCAATGTCTGCATACTAATAACTACATATTAAGAAACTGCAAACATATTAACGGTTAAGATGGCTAATAACCAACATCTTCATGATTCGACTATTCAATTAATCAAAAACTTGATGAATCGATATTTTATTCTGAAAAAATATTAGTGAAAGTAAAAAGATGAATATTCAAGAACATAATCTTACATCGACAACAACTGATTATCATAACTATGGAATCGGAAAATCAGGATGTTCATTAAACGATGATGATGCAGGCAAGTATTCAATGTATTATATGATTAAATTTCACATATTTATAAAGGGTATCGATGTCAATTAAAAAAATTTCAATCCGAGTGTATTTGATTTGATAACTGTTAGTTTCTTTAACTTTAATTCATCTTCGGTGAATCAAAATCAAAAATTAATAGGGTGTTTTAATGCAAAAAAACTGCATACTTATATAAATTGAATGCTCAATTAAAGAACATATTAATGAATACATACTTTGAAATTGGAATAACAGAACGTAAAAAAATAAATCGTTCCAAAAATACAATTTCAAATAAGTCTGATTACAATAATTCTGAAAATAATAAAAGTAAAATAACGAAAGCTTAATATCCTTTTTGTCGTTGGAGTTATAAAAGAATGAAAAAAATCAACTTTTTATAACATAAAAGTATGATAAATATAAGGAAAAAAAATTATGTTGTAAGAGTTTTACAACATAAAAGTATGATAAATTCTGAAAAAAACCAAGAGTTTTACCTTAACATAAAGAAATTCAGAAAAAAACCAAAATTTTTTTTTTGAAAAAAAGTACATTGCCCTTTTTTTTCCTTGAAGTTAGGAAAAAATGAAAAAAATACAACTCGGTATAATATAAAAGTAGGATAAATAAAGTACGATTATGCCCTTTTACAAAAGTTATCTGTTCACAAATTGCCCTTTGTATAACATAAAAGTATGATGCATGGTCAAAATGGACCAAAATGCCCTTTATGTCATGTATTCTATTAAATTGATAGGAAATTGATGATGAAGCCCTTTTAGAAAAGTATATTGCTTTTTAGGACGATTACACCCTTTTACCATAACATACATAATATCTGAAAAATTCCAAAAAAAAAATGAAAAAAAAGCAATGTACTTTTATAAAAGGGCGTAATCGTCCTTTATTTATCATACATTTATGTTATACGATATTTTATATTTTCATTTAATTTTCTATTTTCTCATTTTTTTTTTGGTTTTTTTCAAAAAAAAATTTGTTAAGGTAAATTTATAAAAATCCCTTTAAATGCGAATGTACTTTCGTTAGTCACTATTTTTTTATATTCATTTTTGTTTTTTTTTTTTGGTCCATTTTGCATCTGATCATATTTTTATGTTGGTCCATATTTCATTTATGTATAAATCCCTTAAAATGCAAAATAAGCAATGTACTTTTGTAAAAGGGCGAATTCATCAATTTTCTATATATTTAATAGAATACATGACAAAAGGGCAATTTGATCCATTTTGCACATGTATCATACTTTTATGTTGTAAAACTCTTACAAAGTATAATTTTTTTCGTTCTTTTATAACTCTAATGAAAAAAAGGGCAATGTACTTTTGTTATTTTGTTTTTGTTTTTTTTTTCATTTTTTTAAAAAAAAAAATTCAGAATTTATTTATGTTAAGGTAAAAGGGTGTAATCGTCCTAAAAAGCAATATACTTTTCTAAAAGGGCGTCATCGTCAAATTGCTATAAATTTAAAAGAAAACATGGCATAAAGGTCAATTTGGTCCATTTTGACCTTGCATCATAATTTTATGTTGTAAAACTCTTACAACATAAAGTTTTTTTTTCATATATTATCATAATTTTATTTTATACGAAGGGCAATGTAATTTTGTTATTTTGTTTTTGTTTTTTTTCAATTTTTTTTTAGTTATTTTCAGATATTGTTTATATTAAGGTAAAAGGGTGTATTCGTCCTAAAAAGCAATGTACTTTTGTAAAAGGGTGTAATAGTCCTTTATTTATCATCCTTTTATATGATACAAAGTTGCATTTTTTTCATATTTTTCTAACTTCAAGGAAAAAAAAGGGCAATGTACTTTTTTTCAACTTTTTTTTTTTGTTTTTTTCAGAATTTCTTTATGTTAAGGTAAATTTACAAATCTTCCAATAATTTTCTTTCATTTATGTATAAATCCCTTTAAATGAAAAACAATCAATGTTAAACAAAGCTGTATAATTTTCATTTCCTTCTAACTTCAAGGAAAAAAAAAGGGCAATGTACTTTTATTAGTCACTATTTTTTATTCAAAAAATGAATAAAAAAAAGTGAAAAAAATGAAAAATATAAAACTTTGTATAACATAAATGTATGATAAATATAGGACGATTACGCCCTTTTACAAAAGTATATTGCTTTTCTTTTTTTCTTTTTTTTTTTTCACTTTTTTTTTGTTTTTTTTTTGTTTTGGTTTTTTTCATAATCGTACTTTTGTCAATTTTCTATAAATTTAATAGAATAAATGAAAAAAAAATTCAATTTGGTCATTTTGCCTCTGCATCATACCTTCATTGATTTTTTCCCCTTGCGAAGTACATCATCAATTCTTTCTTTCTTAAGCTTCAAAGAATTACTAGAATGAATCTCAATTGTCTTCTTCACATCTGATACAATAAAAAAAAAAAGAAAAAATCAACGAACGATTGGATTATTTACTGAAAAAACGACAATAAAAAAAATTGTTACCTTCATTGATTTTTTTCCCATTGCTAAGTACATCATCACTTGAAATAACGTCATCTGCCAATTCTTCGGGATCTTTCTTAATCTTCCATGATTTACTGGAATGTATCTCAATTGAATTCTTCAAATCTGGAACAAAATAACAGGAACTACATGAATCGATTATGATGAATGCAAGTTTTCAACGATTGTATTATGATGAATATGGATACACATATGAACCTCCATCGATTTTTTTTCCTATATAAAATCTTCAACTACACAATCTTCATCATCTTCAATTTCAATCGGATTATCAGCACAATTCTAATTCTGATTCATGTTTCCTTCTACTTCCGTACGCAATATCTTCTTTTTTTTCCTTTGCGAATTAAACTTTTTTCTATTTGAACGAGCATCCAATATCGCTTTAAACGCAAACATCGAAAAAAAAAACTGATGCTGATCAATTCTCGGTTCTGTCCACTGAAGGTTTACACATGAAAAATTAATTTGATCCACTACGTTGGGTAAGAAGTTACCAATTGAATTCAAAATTCAAATTGCATTATCCACGTT